TGTCGCCCGGGCTGCCCTGGCGACGGGGGGGCTGGGGGGCACCGCGGGCAGCGGCCGGGCTCCGGAGCCATCTTGCGGGTCTGTCTCCATGCAGAGCCGCCGCCATGGACGCGTTCATGAAGGGCTTGTCCAAGGCCAAGGAGGGGGTGGTCGCCGCGGCGGAGAAGACCAAGCAGGGGGTGGCGGAGGCTGCGGAGAAGACCAAGGAGGGGGTGCTGTACGTGGGTAAGGCTGCGGGGGGCTTGGCAGAGCCGGGACCGGGCACCCCGGGCTGTGGGTGCGCAGAGGGGCTCCGGGTGGCAGCCGTCTGGGGCGATAGACGGGCGGGGGGAGGCTCTGGGGGCCCGTGCCTGCGTCCAGCCCTGGGGGTCCCGGGGTCCCCGCCCTGCCAGCGGCTGGGAGCAGCAGGTCAGGCGGAGCCCAGGCGCCGGAGCTGGCGCGGGAGGTTCAGCCCTTGGCAAAGGGCAGGATGGAGGGTGACCAGAGAGCAAGGGTGAAAAATCAGGGGGGGGGGTAATTGGCACCTATATAAGACAAAGCTCCAAGTATCGGGACTGTCCCTATAAAACCGGGACATCTGGTCATCCTGGCCAGGGGGTCCCAGGCCCTGGCACGTGACCCACAGCTGCCCTCATCTCCAAGGGCGGTCGGTGGACCTGCCACCCCCAGTGCAATGCCAGACCGGCCCAGGCCATGCGCCCGGTCAGTGCCTGGAGCTCCCCAGCTGACGGGGGCAGCTGCCCCCTGCCCTGCTCTCTGCAGCCGCCGGGTGCCCTTAGCGGCCCCAGGTCTGGCCCCCGGGGGGCACTGGCGGGGGGGCCTTGCCGGCACCCGGGCTGGGTGCAGGAGATGTGCTCTGTCCTGGCTGCCTGGTGCCTGCGCCGCACCCCCACCACACACACACACACAAAGCTCAGGGCACTCAGACTGGCACAGAGCCAAGAGCCCCCTGTGCCCAGGCCCCCGCAGAGCCCGGCCCCACCTGCCGGGAAGCAGCAGCACCCGCGTGTGCTGAGGATCTGGCCATGAAGGAGTGTCTGGGGCCTGCTGCCCCTTGCCTGCCCACGGGCCTGGGCCCATAGCTGTGGATTGTACGGACCAGGCTGTACGGGGGAAGCGCTCCCGGTCGCCCGGTCAGTCGTGTTTGGTGGTGGCGATGCTCTGACGTGGGGCCGGCAGCCGAAGCCTCCAGGGCTGGGGAGTGTGAAGTCCCTGGCGGGGCTGCTCTGCAGACACTCCTGGACCCAGCCCCCCTCCCCGCCACAGGTGCGGCCTGCTCTGGCACTGTCCCCCCACCCACCCTGGGGAGGGCTCAGACCTTGGCAGCTCAGTCTAATTCCCAACCCCTGCCTGGGCTCTGTTCACGGGGATTCACGCCCGGCAGGCCGAGGGGCCGTCAGGGGGGCTGGGGGCTCAGCTTGTGGGAGCCTGCCCCACCACAGCTTGGCACCTCTCGCCCCTCAAGCTGGGCAGAGCCCCTGCATGTGGGTGACGTGGGGCCCAGAGACCAGTTTGGGGAGGGATTTGATTTAGTCCTGATGAGCTGGAGGGGAGAGGAACAAACAGCTGCCCCAGAGCCCACTCCAGGGAGACAGATCCCTCCGCCCACGTCTCCCAGAGGGAGTGCCCCTAAGGCGTGGGGCGGGAGAGCTGGCTGGATGAGCTGCTCCCAGCAGGGGGTGCCATAGGGAACGGGAGGGAGCTGGGGGGAGCGCTGGCTGGGCTAGGAGCTGGGGGGAGCGCTGAGTGTCGGGGGAGCAGGGGGAGCGCTGCCTGTGCTGTGGGAGGGAGCTGGCGCAGGGCTGGCGTAGCAGGGGCTGCGGGTCGGGACTGAGGGGCACCGGCAGGGCTGGGGGAGCACAAAGGAAGGGAGATGTTACCCTGTGGCCTCTCCCACCTCCATGGGTCCTGGCTGTTCCGGGCAGAGCCCCCGGGCCCCAGAGCTGAGCGCCTCCATCCCAGCTGAAACAGACCCGAGCAGGATCCCAGCCGCAGCTCGGGGGCCGTGCAGCAAATGGGGGCACACGGGGCAGCCATTGTGGGCAATCCCTGCTTCCCGCGAACCCCACACGCCCAGCCAGGGGGCCCCCAACCCCAGCTCGAGGAATCCACCAGCCAAGCAGGGGTGGCACCAGGCCCATGTGACCTGCGTGGCCGATCTCGGCAGCTTGGGTCTCCTTTCCAGGGCACTCCTGGAGGAGGATTCAGGAGTGGGGGGAGGCGCAGTTCCCCTGGGGCTGGCCCCAGCCCGGGGGCGATGTGGGGTGAGCACTGGGAACCCCACACCCTCCATCCCTGCACCACGGCCCCAGGCCACTCCCCTTGGGAACTGCAGGGGTCCCTCTCTTCCCCCATGAGGTGGGGGGGTCCCCCAATAGGCACCCCAGCCGCTGAGGAGTATCTGCTTGGGCCCTTCTGTCCCCTTGGGGCTGGGTTGGCAGGGTCCCCCAGAGCCATGGGCCTTGGAATTGCCCTTCACAGCTATGGTCTCAGGCTCTTGGCAAACTCAGGCATTTAGCGGTTGTGTCTCTTACCCCAGCGTTTGTTGTCTCTGGCTCGAGGATTCTGCTGGATGTTGGCACTGAGGGTCTGGTCCCTCTGCCCAGGGGTCTCTGAGCTGGAGATGCTAACGAGCCCTGGGGGTGCTGTGATGTGCTAACGCTTTGCTCTTCACGCTGACGTTTCTGCTACGCCGTGTGACCTGGAAAGCCAGGGCTTGCCCTGATCGATCACGACCTGCCCCGGGAATCCGTTACTAACTCCTGGCAGGTGAGCTGGGCTTCCCAGCGGGTGAGGACGGTGCCCCTCGATGCCCGCGGGATTCAGTCACGTGTCAGGGCAGCCCGAGTCCGCATGCGGGTGTCAGACGTTGTAAGTGACTCTCCGCTGCGCTAGACCTGCTCCCGCCCAGCCTCGGGCCCATGGCAGCGGGGACCCTGTGTTCCCTCACGTCCTCTTCCCACAGATGCCACATTTGGCTGCCTCCTGCTGGAGGGCAGCCTCTGCCCTGGCCCCTCCATGTGCTGCTGGGGCTGTCCTCGTGCTGGGCGCGAGCAGAATCCCACCGCAGCCACCAGCTGGCATCCCTGAAGCGTCCGTGCTGGGCGGAGTCGGGGCTCCTCAGGCTCAGGAGGGCGGCGCCCCCTGTGGGTCTTGTTCAAGCTTCTCCCGTTCCCCTGCCGCTCCAGCTTCACCACAGCCGGCGCCCGGGAAGCCCGTCTGCTCCGAGCTGCTCCATACGGGGCCTGCCTCACGCCATGGCTGGATGCTCCCAGGGTTGTTTCCTGGAGCCCCGGCTGAGCATCACAGCTGGTCTCTGTGCTGTGCCCGCCTGGGCTGATCTCTGCTCCGAAACTGCCCCCCGCCCAGGGGCCGCTGTCCTGCGGTGTGCTTTGGGCTCCGCCAGCGCTGGCTTTGTAACACGCCCGCCTGCCCCCATCCCAGAGCAGCACCACGGCGCTCCCCCTCCCCATGGCGCTCCCCCTGTCTACAGCTCCCCCTCCCCACGGCTCTGCCTCCCCATGGCGCTCCCCCTCCCCTCGCACTCCCCCTTCCTACAGCTCCCCCTCCCAGCCACTCAGGCTGCTGGCCACTGCCCCAACCAGGGGGTTCCCAGGCTCTTAGAGTGCAGATGGGTCTAGCACCCACCTGAGCTGCCCCCCAGGGCCTGGCTGCCTAGCCCCTAGCTCAGAGCTGGCCCTTCAGGCTGCCCCATAGCTTGAACGCACCTTGTCCCAGAAGCCCCCTCCCCCCCCGGTTCGCTCTGCCGGGGCCCAGGGAGCAGCTGGGGACACCTAGCCTGCACAGCGTCGCACGCTCACTACACAGGGACATGGCTCCCCCGAAAACAGGCTCTAACGGCCCCCGCAGAGTCCCTGGGGGCCCCAGCAGACGTCCACAGGCTGGGTAGCTTCTCCCTCATGGAGTCACTCAGCTGGTCAGTGCCCTTCTCCCACGCATCTGTCCTGCCCCCCGCAATAGCCGTCCACTGCTCCAGAACCGCCCCCCCGGCCCCCAACCCAGAGCGGGAAGGGGTCCCCGGATCCCCGCCCTTGACACTCCCCTGCTAGCCGCTGGGGCCACCCCTACAGAGGGGCAGGCCTGATCCAGCAATTCTCCTAGTCATCGTCCCCCCGGCCTGGCCTGCGCAGGGAGTTGGGTGAGCAGCAGCCAGAGGCCAGGGCCCCCCCTGCACCCCAATGGCTCCTCCTTGCAGCAGCCTCCCCCCCAGAGCAGGGGGCAGCGAGTCCTGGCCAGACCCCGGCTGCCTCCCTGGCGGTCAGCTCCGCGGCTGCTTTATTCTCCGCAGCCCCGCTCAGCGCATGCCCCCCGCTGCTGAGTGCAGAGACCACGTGTGCAGGGCACGCCCGGGACAGCCAGGAACCCCCCAACCTGCCCATGGGGTATCGCCAGGGAGATGCCAGCCTCTGGGGTGAGAGGGGGTGCGTGTCGGGGGGGCAGTACGAGGAGGTGCTGACGTGAGCCAGCCTGGCACGCTCTGCGTGGGTCAGCGAGGGAGCTGGGCCAGGCTGCCGTGCCCGCGGGTTCGGGTCGCAGGGCATCAGCAGAGCCGTGCGGTGGAGCCCCGTGCAGTGCGGCTGCAGCAAGGGCATGGCCCCACACGCCTGTATGGACTCCACGGCCCCGCCTGGCACCAGTCCCTCTAACCCCCCCTCTCTCGCTCTCTCTAGGAAGCAAAACCCAAGGCGTGGTGCAAGGCGTCACCTCAGGTACCAGCTGCTCTATTCCCCCGGCCCAGTGCCACGCGTGGGTGGCTGCACTAACGAGCTCAGGCTAATCGGGGGCTGTGATGTCACCGGCCTAAAGCCCGTTATGTAACGGGGGCCAGAACACGGGCTTCGGAGCTGCTGGGCCAGGACTTGAAACCCAGCCGCCCCGTGTCCCCACGCCTGACGGGGGAGGGCTGAGTCTGCCCCACAGGGCACATGCAGGGTGGGGGGAGGTGCCAGTCCCCCCGTGCGCTAGCCCCAGCCGGGCCCTGCCTGGCAGCCGAGGGCCCCCCCCGGGCTGTAACGCGGCTCCGCCTGCCTCTTCCAGTGGCTGAGAAGACCAAGGAGCAGGCGTCCCAGCTGGGGGGGGCCGTCATCTCAGGGGCTGGGAACATCGCGGCCGCCACCGGCCTGGTCAAGAAGGAGGAGTTCCCCACTGACCTGAAGGTGAGTGTCCCCTACAGCGAGCCGGGGGGTGCATCCTCTCCAGGGGGACAAGGGGCGTCCCGCACCCACGTCCACAGGGTGGCTGTCAGGCCCTGCCCGGTGCATCTGCCTCAGTTTCCCCTGTCTTCTACCCATGAAAGGAACATCATCTCAGGGTCTGTTATACCCCCCACCCCTGGGCACCATGGCAGTAATACCCCAAAAGCCGGCTTCCCATCCCCCTCTGCCTCCCCGCCCCTGCTCAGGGGATCCACCCTCCCGCTCCAGCCCCCCCACCAACAGGAGCCCTGCCCCAGCCTCCCACTTCTCAGGGGCTCCCAGCTCTGGCCAGTTCTCACCAGCTTCCCCCAGGCTCCTCGCTGCAGCTCCGGGCGCTGCTCTGTGTCCGCTCGTTCCTGGCTCAGGCTCTGACCCCTCGCTGCCTCCTTCCCGCTAGGCCGCTGCCCTCTCTGGAGCCCAGTAGGGGTCAGCTGACCTGGCCCAGCGCTCCCTGTGGCAGGGAGTTCCCCAGGCACTGCAGGGCCCAGACTGTGCCAGGGGGGCGAGCGTCTGGAAGGTGGAAAGTCCAACTGCGAATCGGGTTGAGCCCCGGCCAGGCTGCCCAGCCGCCCGCAGACACCGAGCCCCTCAGTGCAGCTGGTTTGGCTTCCCCAGCTGAGGGAGGCCTGGCCGGGGGGGGAGCAGCAGGAGGAGTGGGCGGCTCTTTGCTCAGGGGGTGACTCTCCCCCATCACGGCCAGGACAGCACCGCCGCTGGCTGGAAAGGAATCGCTGAGGGGGCGCGTGGTGTGCATAGCGGGTACCTACGGGGCGCGCTGGGATCCGCACACAGGCGGGTGGAGATGGGGGGGGGTGCATGGACGTGTGCAGACACGTGTGTACATGGTTGTTTGCATGTGGAAGGGTGTGTACATGCGGGGAGGTTTACGGACGTGTGCGTGCGTGTACGAGACCGTGCATGTATGTGCAAGGATGTGTAGGGATGTGTGTGTATACAAGGCCGTGCGTGGGGGTGTGTACGCACAGGGATGTGTATAGACGTGTGCGTGCATGTACAAGGCCGGGCGTGGGTGCGTATGTGTATACAAGGCTGTACATGGATGTGTTTACATGCAGGGATGTGTGTGTGCGTGTGTGGACGAGCTCGTGTGTGTACACGCAGGGATGTGTATGGATGTGTGTATACAAGGACGTGTGTGGGGATGTATGTGGACGAGGCTGTGCATGGGGATGTGTGTGTGTGTACGAGGCCATGCGTCAGTGTGTGCACGTGCAGGGATGTGTATAGACATGTGCGTGCGTGTAAGAGGTCGTGCGTGGGGGTGTGCACGTGTACAAGGCTGTGCATAGATGCATGTATGTGCAGGGATGTGTGTGGACGTGTGCATGTGTGTATGAGGCCATGTGTGGGTGTGTGTACATGTGGGGATGTGTATGGATGTGTTTGTATACAAGGCTCTGCTTAGGTGCATGTACATGCAGGGATGTGTAGACCGTGTGCGTGCATGTACGAGGCTGTGCATGGGTGTGTGTGTGTGTGTACGAGGCCGTCATGGGGGTGTGCGCGTGTACGAGACCGTGCATGGGTGTGTGTACATGTGGGGATGTGTATGGACGTGTGTATACAAGGCTGTGCGTAGGTGCGTGTATGTGCAGGGATATGTGTGGACGTGTGCATGCGTGTACGAGGACGTGTGTGGGTGCGTGTGTGTCTACAAGGATGAGGATGGGGGTGTGCGCGTGTACGGGGCCGTGTGTGTATGAGGCCGTGTGTGGGTGCGTGTACGTGTACGAGGCCGTGCGTGGGTGCATGTACGTGCAGGGATGTATAGGGACGTGTGTGCGTGAACGAGGCCGTGCATAGGTGGGTGTGCGTGTACGAGGCCGTGCGTGGGGGTGTGTGTGCGTGTACGAGGCCGTGCGTGGGGGTGTGTGTGCGTGTACGAGGCCGTGGGGGTGTGTGTGCGTGTACGAGGCCGTGCGTGGGGGTGTGCACGTGCGGGGATGTGCACTGCCGTGGCTGCTGTCACTGGAGCCGTGCGAGCCGTGAGGTGCCCGACAGCTGCAGCCTCCACAAGCCGAGTTGCCACAATGAGCCGTTTGCTTCCAGCTTATCCGAAAATAGCAACAGCTGAAACGAGGAGGCCGCGGCAGCGGGCATCTGTGAGGGGAGGGGAGGGCAGGGGAGGATGTGGCTGCGCCAGGCCAATCGCTGGGGCCGAGCGGAGCCCAGACCTCGGCAGCCTGAGCCGCCCCTGGGGGCAGGGGCTGTGAGCCCAAGGGGGCAGGCCGGGGGCTCTGCACAGGCCACCAGCCGGTGGAGCTGCCCCCCCCCCCGCCCCGGCTGTGAGGGGCGCTGCCCCTAGGCTCCCGGGCTGAGGAGCCCAAACCCGTCGCACAGGCCAGCATGGGGCAGCCAGCTGGGGGGCCCAGAGGGGCACGGCCCAGCCTGGCTCCCCACCCATGACCCAGCCCTGTTCCCCAGCCCCTCTGCCCCCCACTCCTTGCAGCAGCGCGGGCAGGACCCAGCCGCCCCCTCAACCAGCCAAGCTCAGGGCTGCAGGGACCTGGAGACAGGTGGGGCTGGGCCGGGGGCGTGGGGGGAGGCGGACGGGCAGGGGCAGGGCCAGCCCATGGGCTCCCTGCGGGGACAGTGGGGTGGCATTACCCACAGTGCCTCGGGGCCCACGTACAGCACAAAGGAAAGTAAC